GGACGTCTAATATGGTGATTAGTCCAGCTTGATAAGGAGGTTACAAAAACTAAATGCGCTTTAATTGACTCTGATTCACCCAAACAATTTCTTTTTTAAATCCCAAATGGATCTAAAGTCGACTTATTAATTTACTGCTACCTTTTTCGACTTTTCTTCTTCATCTTCTTTCTATCTATATTTCATTTTTTATTGTTAAATAATTTGGTGAAGCTCTCATTTGTTAAAGAAATGTAAGAAGAATAAATTCCTAAACTCAAATAAATGTAATTAATGATTTATGTCGTTTTAATGAACAACATTGACTCGATTTAATTAATGGCATATTTTCTACACAACTTGACCTTTCTCTATAGATGACAATTTATTTTAATTAGCAAATCTTTTTGTATGAATTTGTGTATCGTTTAATTTTTGTCATCGAAAGCTATTCAATGAATTAAGGTATTAATGATGAGGATACCTTACAATTCATGCCGTCCATTCTTAAGCAACCTTTATAAAGTTTATGTTACAAAATTGATAGACCATGGATGTGTCAGTACTGAATGAATGTCAAATTGTATAGGAAATTTTTCATTTCTTGATCCAATGAGATGCTTACTCATTCATGTGTCATAGGCCTATAAATTTTACTCAAAATAAATCAAATCGTATGCTATCTTTGAAAGACATTTTTCATCTAAAATCCCCAGAAAAATCATAAAACCTTTTTCAAATCCTTTTTTGCTTATCATTCACATTTGAATGCTTTTAACGTTTGTAAATCACGGATTTATCAAAAGTATTAGGGAATTGTTGAAAGAATGTTCAAGAATCAAAGATATTTGCAAGCTACATTTATCCCTCATAGGCTTCATATTGGAAAGTGTTTTGAAGTTGTTTGAGATGTTAAGTTTCGGAAATTTGAAACACAATTCAATAGCTAATAAGGATATCAATAGGAATATTAAAATGGAAGGAATATACTTATCTTCTTGCTAGTTGTAATCTCTTTTGGATTTAATGATATACTCTCTGTTTAAAGCTCTAGCCTTTTCAAAATAAAGATTAACTATGTATGACATAATAGGCAATCTTTAAGTGACTAAAATAATTTTTTTTGGTATTTCTTTGACATTAAATCACGGATCGAAATTTTATGAACTTATTAAAGCACTCATAACTCTCTTAATCAGCAAAAAAAAATTATTTACTTGTAAACCAAACTTTTTTAATTTACTTGATAACAATTCTCATGAATCATGTCAATAAAAAATTTCAACGTATGTCTTCATCCATCAATAATTCACTGCCAATAAAAATATATCAATTTTTTTCTTAAACATTTCAATCAACAAAATTGATGACGTTGAGGCCATAAGATTGTTTTCCGTAAAAAAACTTTTTCATTTATTGTGAATAAATTTCTTTATTTTCAAATAAGCACGATGACTTTTAAAAGTTACTGGAAATGATGAGGAAATTTTCAAAACTTAAATGAGGAAAATTATGTGACCTTGAAGATTACTTAAATTTGTTGATGATTTTCATTTTCTCATTTTTCTAACGCTGTCACGTGTAATTTTCACTCACCTATTCCGGTTCCACAAAACGTGATATTAAGTTTCATTAAGGAAATAATTATTTTTCCATTGCCATTGCCATTTAATATCCGAGGAGAATTTTCTTCATCTTTTGATAGAAATTGTTGCCAAATTATTCTAAAAGAAAATGAAGTTTGTGCCTTGAGGTGGATTTGTCAGACATTTAAATGTTATAAAATGGTAATTGCTTTTGGTTTAAGGATGTAGGATGCATTAATGCTTTGTATAACAAAAATCATTGCTTGAATTTTCAAGAGAAATTATTAAAGCTTTATTATAAATTAACCATGAATCATTGGAATTGCATAGAAAATTGAAAATCTCCGTTTGGAATAGTCATGCTACACATTATTCGAAATAATTCACAAAAATAACATTATTCACTATTCGACCGACTCGAATCAATTAGTTTTTAACAAAATTTCCACATTGGGGTGATTAATATCTCCGGAGTAAAACGAATAACCATTTCCATAGAATATAATTAATTTCCTTAATTTTATTGGTGCCCGAGAAATTTCATTTGAGCTTTCAGTACCGAAGCTTCGTAAATTTTGCATTAAAAGCTTTGAATTAAAATTACTGCAAGCAATGCGCATGTGTTTGAACTACAACCATCTCTTTCTATACAACTGACAACGTGACATGTTGTTTGTAAATATTCAAAAGATACACGAGGTGCCGTTCATCATTTTCTCGTATTAAATCAGCTGGAAGTTCATTGATGAAATAATATTTGAATTTGTTTTACGGTCAATTTAGCAAAGATTGCAGACGAGATGAATGGAAACTTTTCTTATTATTTACTGATGCAAAATTTATTAAGGGTAAAAATAACAAATTTCTTTAGGATATAAAAAATATTTTTCTTCAAATCTGATTTGCAAAATAAATCAATCAAATATTTTGTAACAAAACAAAGCTTTTAAAAAGTTCATTGACACAACAAAAAAAAAAAGTTTGCCTAAAACTTATGCAAGCAATCTGAAGAGATGAAAAATATTTTGATTGGTTCAAAATTAATCGTGAGTGATTGAATTTATCTATGGTCATTGAACTTGACTTATAAATAGATCAAATTCCATAAATTACATGAATGTATGCGGAATATTTCCCATGAATGTCAAGTAAGAGGTCAAATTGTATCATGTTCAATGATTCGTATATATTATATCCGATTTATCATATTTGAGTCAAACGGTTGTGAGGAAATGTTTATGCTGAAATTAATATTTCACTTTATTGAGTAAGAGTAAATGGACCATGCTTAGCAAGCGATATTCTGTGTTCAGTCTTTGATTAAATTATTTTCTTGGAAGATTTAAAATGGTGAAGATTTATTGGGTTTTATAATGGATGATATATATTTTTTTAATGCAGAGCACGACAAATTCAATTTACCTTTAGATTAAATAAATATATAAAAAAAAAAAAAAAAAAAAAAAAAAAAAAAAAAAAAAAAAAAAACCTTTACCTATTCAGATCAATTGTGATCCAGAGGTGCGCTAGGGCGATTCGCAGCTAATGAGAGTTTAACGAGTGAGGATGCGCCAAACCACTGCACTCAAACCTAGACCTACAATTTATAGTGGAATCCGAACCACTCCTTTGATGACATTTCTGTCTGTAGCCTACAAAGGAAGGCTGTGAGCCTCATTTCCAGTACATATGATTCGAAAAAGGACAAGCGAAAAATTTCCCATACCCAATCTCGAACCCATGATCGCTGTGTCGGTATTGCAATAATTAGGTACCGAAGTACTAAACCATTCCGCCACCGAGCCACTTCAGCTCACAAAATAAATATATATGTGATGAAAATAAGTGTTTAGGTACGGGGCATTATCAAATGATGTTAATGAAATAATCCTTTGGTTACAAAAATTACACACAAGTGTAACATAGTTTCCATAATAACATTCATTACTGAAAAAGAATTATCTTTACTCACAACCAGAGCTCGAATGAAAGCTTTGATGAAATTTTGTATGGAGTCGAGTCAATTCGGAGTCAACTCTGCTATACAAAATTGATGAAAATCTCGAGTCGACTTCGAGCTCTGCTCACAACTTATATTGATCCTTGTTCAAAAACCAGATGCTTTTAATTTGTTTTCCGCATGTCTAAATCTAGAAATTTCCATTAAAAAAAATCACAACCAGCAGAGATATTGAAAGGAACGTCTCCAGATGATTAAATTTATGTGCAAATTGATGACTAGACCATCTTAATCAGTTGTAAATTTAAAAGTAAAGAGAATAATTATATTTTCTTGAAAAAAAATCCTTTGATATATAACTTGGCAATAAAGATTACATTTAGAATTCTTCGCGTTCGGAAACGTGAAGTACTGTGAAGTACAACAAGCTTTTTGGCAAAAATTCAATCCTCGATATCTCGAAATTTAAGGAAGATTAAGAAGTGTCGAAAAAAACTAAGAAGATGTCGAAAAGTGCCGCAAAAGTGTCTTTAATCAAGCCAAGTTTATGCTCGAAATTGGACCAAAGTACTTGACACAGGACTGAAATTCAATGCTACTGCAATATAAGGTATGAATAAAATGTATCTAAGACTAAGGCAGCCTTAGAAACTAGCTCTGTACATAACGACAAACCCAAATAAAACACAATTAAATTTTCATACATTTTAAATCAAAGAAATTTACTTCTTTATTGACTTCTACTAAACAATTTTTTTCCATACGATTTTTTTTTGGTATTTTTCATCAAAGTCTACAAAAATGAGATGTTTAGGAAAAATTTGGGGAAGGGAAAATTTTAATAGAAATTTATTTAGAAATATTTTCATTTATTATTTCGGCTCTTTTTTACTTTTCACTTGTCAAGTCGAATTAATTATAGTTAATTAATTTAAACCATTATCACATTGCAGGTTCTATTTAGTGTCTTATCTTTATTCTTATTCTTAATTATCTTTTGGTTTTGTAGGAAGAAAAAGTTGTTTGCTGAAAATAATTTTGTAGATAAATTTTCATATCATTGAATAAATATCAGCACAAAACTGTTTAAAACAAGATTACTTTCCTCTTCATAATTTTTACTTTAATTTCTGCTTTTTTTTAATTAACTTTTCCATGTCCTTACTTCTACATAAATTACATTTAAATATTTATTTTCTCTTTCTACAAATTTTTCGTCATATCCAAAAAGAATTTTCATCTCACATTCTTTTTTTTTATCCATAAAAAAGTCGAGGAAGTAGGGTTCAAAAGATTTTAATCATAAAATTCTTCAACATTCAAATTTTATTCTTTTTGTTCGCTTTTTACAGATTTCTTATATTTAATGTGATAGAGTTAGAGACTTTTACTGGCATGCTTAAGGAATAAATAATTGAAATTTAATTTTTTTGTGATTTTCTTTTCAATTTAAAAAAAATTGAAATGATAAAAAATAAATTTTTTAAAATTTAAATTTGATTAGTTTTTGAAAAAATTAAGGAACTACAATATTTATTTTAATAATTTCAAACTATCTACTCCTCAAACACACAAGCACACACTGGTAACATTAATGACACATTACATTTACTAGCTCTTTATTTACTCCTAACAACTTATAAATTTGTGTACCTCAATTTATAATTTCTTATTTCATCTTGTGTCCCCGAATTTTATTTGATTTTTTTTTTAAAAAAAAGTATGTCATTTACAAATTTAATCATTACGGAATTTCCACACATATTTCTTACACATCATTATTATTATCGTATTTATTTACAAATTCATCAAAAAATTCACATTCACCGATGTTTTCTCCTTTGAAATGTGAAAAATCTTGATACTCGTTCGCTGTTGTCGTTTGAACTGTCGATTTTGTGGAAATTCTCTGGAGTTTTTGCTGTTGTGGCTCCGTCGTTACTCGACTGTTTGCATTTGAAATTTGAATGCCTTGGAGACATCCCAAAAATGGTTTATGGAAGTGATTATTTGTGCGATTTGAGATTGATGTGCTATTGGGAAACCCGCCTAAAAGGAAAGAATGGGGGATGAATTATCATGAAAAATTCTGTCAACAACAAAATCATTTATCAATAATAATATTTTTGGATCGGAATAATATCTGATTCTTAAAAATGTCAGAGGTTTTACAAAAGGTATCTAACCATATTAGCATTAAAAATATAGTCTTTAATTTTATAAATAAAATCTAAAGTTTATTTCTTTAGTTCCGGATCACCTACAACCTTCCATGGCTACGTTTACGACATTGACTGTAAATTCAGATTCTTAATCCAGAATTAAGAAGTACTTAATTTTTAAAAACGATAACCGTAAAGTTCAATCAATTTCATGAAATCATCTTGATCGGAAAATTGATCTCCAAAAAAATTCTTTATTCTTCTCACAGAATCTCTTAAATAGCCATTAAAAAACATAAGTTCCAAAGAAATGTGACCCAAAAGAAGGAAAAAAAGACTTTTTAATCCTAAACCTCTATTATCAGCTTTTCTTTCTTGCATCGACCCAAAAAAAAAAGAACTTTACATATATCCATAATCCTCACCTAAATAGAAAGATTCACCAAGAAGATCTAAATTATTGACAACATCGTCAACATTTCGTACATCATTATATACAACTTTTCTATCAACAACAATGGAGACTTGACCCAAATCATCAATATCTAATTTTACATTGTGCCATGCACCGTCTGTTAGATATCCACCCATAGGCACATCAATTTTGTCGTCCTTGAAGCTCATTAAATTGCTAATGACCTTAAGAAAACCATTTTCAAGTCCAATGCCGAGATACTTATTATTGTTATTGTCATTCCACAGCAACATTCCATCGACATTAATTGTTGAGAAATTTAAAGAAATTTGTAGGAATTTGTTTGATGTGAGACGTGACGATGAAGATGCTCCATTGCGCTTATCTTTATGTGTATAACGTTGACTAGGAATAACCATATAGCTCTTTCCGTTAAAACTTGGCAAGGAGTTTCGGTTTGTAGCAATTTCACAAAAATATCCAGTCCATCCATTCGGGCAACTACATTCACCATTTGGCATGCATTTTCCATCATTTTTACATTTGATTACGTGACATGATTCGGGAATTTCACAATGAAGTCCTTTCGCCGTTTCCGGACATTTACAATGTGGATTGTGCTTATCATCGAGGTAACAGTGACCGCCTTGATCACATGCATCACCACCACACGCTACAAAAAAAAAAAAACAAGAGAGAAAGATTGAAAATAAATTGAAAGAAAATTGAGAATTGAATGTTTGTGGTGATTTAAATGGAGACTGTTGTGAAGTTAGCTTGAAATAGAGTATGATTTTTTTTGTACAAAATTCTCAAACCTCCCTCCATATAAAAACATTACAAACTAAGTTGGCAGCCTCAAAAAATGCTACATAACTTCACAACAATTCCAGTCTATTCATCAGATCAACAAACCTGTTCCATCGCAATCAACAATATTTCTCGAATCAACAATTGTTTGTTCATTGAGCACATAACGATGCCCGTTCATGTGAAATTGTCGAACGCATCCTTTGAATGGAATTGGAAATCCTGATATGGAATTGAATGGCAATTTTGAGAGATCGGGCAGGCCACCAATGTAAATCAATGAATTGGAACTGTGATAAAATATTGAATTTGGCTTTAGTTCATTTGACGTACTGCTTCCCTCAACCCACAAACTTAGACGACGACCATTTTGTGATAATCGAATTTTATGCCATTCTCCAATGGCCAAAATTCTATTGCTTCGAACAATGGATAACTGTTGACCTTGCACTCCAGCTATTCTGAATTCAATGACTCCACCGTTCAATGAAAGGCTTATAAAACCATCTTCGTTGTCTTCGAGATCGCCCAAGAATAGCAATAATCCACTCTCACTGAGTGGACGAAGTTGAAATTCAACAGATAACAACTGTGCCTTTCGTTGATGCTCCATTATGTTTCGTGCCATTAGCTTTGAAGAAGAATCATAGTTAAAAACGTCAACTTCGTGATTAATTCTCATATTCTGTCTGTAACGTTCTCTGGGCAACAAATAGCCAAGAGAATGATTATGCCAGCTGAGTGCAAAGTACGACCGCTTTCCATTCAATGAGACATCACTCAAGTACTTGATTGCGATTTCGCAGTATTTTCCCATCTTTCCAATTGGGCAATCACATTCATAGCCATTGATAAGTGGAACACATGTTGAGCCTTCGGCACATTTACTGTTTGCAGCATCACAAGGATTCAATCGCTGTGAACATAAAGTACCAAACCATCCCTCAGGACATATGCATGTATAAGTAGCTCCATGCTGTAAACAAGCTCCGCTATTGTGACATGAGTGTCGATGACATTCCCTTGTTCCACATTGGCCAACGCTTCTGCCTGTTATTCCTTTTGTATCATGCAATGGAACAACTAAACTTCCACTTTTTAATTGCAGATCATATATACAGCCTTGAAAGCCTGAGTGAAGTGGCAAATCATGAGGCAATGATGAAAAGTTTATTGCTGAATGTCCCCCAATATATAATGTTGGCACAACATCCAACCTTGATACTTCACCGGGGGAATTTCCTGTCACATTCAGCTTACCGTCAATGTAAAGTGAAGCCTTTCTTCCTTGTCTTATAACTTGTACGTGATATGAAATTATTTCATCTTCAGGATCTTGAAAGACTAAAGGCTTCTGAGTAAAAATTCTTCTTGATCCAGCTCCTAAATTCCATGTGAGCATGATGTATCCTTGAATGAAACTCACAGCTATATGATCACTCTTTTCATCATGATGTCCATTTTGACCGACGAATGCAAGGAGAGAAATTTGTGAGGCTGTAGCTGGGGCGATTTTGAAGCTTAAATCAAGTGTTGATTCTAAAGGAATTGGGACTGGGTACGAGATGTATGATGATAATCCATTGACTGATCCTGAGAATGATGGTTGATCGATGTCGAGACCTGGAAGTAATTTATGAAAATATAATAAGTTAAAACTTGGTCATAAATGACAAAGAGTGCTTTCAAGTCAACAGATAACTCTGGTTATGTTGCAAAAACTATTTTAAACTTACTGTGTTCACAATAATGTCCATGTTTTCCAATTGGACATAAACATAAATATCCAGATGCTGGAAATTCAACACACGTTCCACCATACTGACATGGATTATTATCACAAATTGTTTTTTCACAGTTAGCTCCCAGGTAACCAGTTGGGCACTTGCATTGCCATCGATTCTCAATCATGTCAGTTGAACGATAGAATGTATTGTGTAGTTCATTTTCATTTTCGTATGGCTCTAAGAATCTTTCTTCACATGTTCCACCATTTTTACAGGGATTTGCGAGACAAGCAAGAGAGCCGCATTCTGATATACCAAAGCCGTCATATGAGTCTCTGTTGAAGGAATTAAAATTGTATTAAAATATTAATCACGTGATAAAAATACAAATAATTTACCTGAAAATTTCCTTTTGTTCTTCATTAATCCTCAATGTGTGTAAACATCCAGAAAATCCCTGTCCATTTGGTAATCCACTCATCAATACAACTGGAGTTTGTGGACTTCCACCGAGATGAAGCCAAACACTCGAAATCGTTTTTCCACTCTTTCCCAAATTTTTTGCTCCCAACCACGTTGGTTGATCGCCACTCATTGCCAATGTATCATTAATTCTCAATGATGCATTGCAATGTGAATGATTTCTACTAAAGTCAAGTGCTACTTGTATTGTAAACTCATTTCCATTATTTATAGGTGCCTCGAGCTCGGACAGTAACATTGTTTGTAAGCCGCATGAAAATTGAAACTGCAATAATCCTTTATGGAGAAAAAGTGCAGTATAGTGGCCTCCTTTTGGCCCTTGAGCTAAAGCAACAAATATTAATCCATCTGTTGCACGAGTTCTCGCCTTTAATTCAACATTAATCGGTAAAACATTTTCCAATGGCTTTATGTCGAAATCCGGATGATTATCAGAATAAATAAGATGACTTAAGTACGAGTCACCAGCAAATGCTGCATTCCGTATTTTTATAAGTGTTCTGCAATGCGGATCCGTTCGATCAAAACGACAAACACATTTTGCACCTTCAGTCGTGACTACACAAGATCCACCATTATAGCATTTCAAATTACGACAATCTGTCATGTTTGCAACGTCTGATGGCGTTAAAGTAAACATATCATCTGCTGTGCTTGGCGGCTGGAAACTTGAGACAAATGTCGGAACTGTTGGATCAATTGTCGTCGTGGATGTCATCTGTGATGAAGTTAAAATTGTTTCCGTTGTGATTTTTTCATCAATCGATGTTGTCGTCTGCTCGTCTTTACGTGACGACTTAGTAAAATCCTCATCGGCTGTTGACGATTGTTGTGTAGTTCCTGATGTGGTTGTCGATTTGAAAATTTCAGATGTTCCATCAGTTAAAGTTGTACTTGCCGTGCTACTTATTCCAATCGTTGCGGTTTCAGTACTCGACAAATTAATTTCACTACTCGTTTCTCTTTCAGTGTCACTAGTTGAATGTAATGATGACGACTCTATTATTGTAGAAGTGCCTGATGTACTCTGCTCATCTATTGCGGTTGTTATAAAACTCGATTGCGTGCTGCTATCAGTACTAGTAGTAAAACTTGGTGTGTAACTTGTTGAATCGTAATGAAATGTTGATGATGATGATGACGATGATAAGTCCGAATCCGATGTTGTGTCGATTATTGACTTTATTGTTGTACTTGCTTTCGATGTTGTTTGATCAGGTGGACATGGACGATATTTAATTGTGGTTTTCTTCGATACACCCGATGATGAACTTTCCGATGCTGTGGTTTGTGAGTCAAAAGTTGATTCTATAGAACTTTCAGTGGCGGTTGAATGTTCTTCCGTTGATACCTCCTCAGATGTGCTTTTACTTAAATCTAGAATTTCAACTGTCGATGATGGTCCGTCTGTTGGCACAGATTGTGTGATTGTTGATGTTAAAACTGACAAAGGCATATCAGTTGGCAGTTGTGTTAATTCAGTACTCGTAAACACCTTTGAGGACGAGCTTGCCCATGACACACTCGAGAGAATTGTTGAGTCGGTCGTTAAAGATATTTTCGACGTTGTTCGTATCGAAGAATCTGTTGTTGTATAATTGCAATCAAGTTCGCCATTTGATTGCTGTAGGCATTCACAAAACATCCCTCGGAAACCATTCCTACATGAGCATGTAAAGTCATCAACGCCATCAATACAAGCACCACCATTTGAGCATCTGTGAATACAGAAAAAAATAAAATTTGTATTGTGAATAAACATTTTTGTGTATCATTTGTAAATGTCTTACCTTGGACCTATTTGACACTCATCGTATTGATATTCACATTTTTCTCCATGGAAATCAGGAACACAGTAACAAACCCTGAGAGAAATTAAACAATTTTTTTTTGTGTTAATCATAAAATATTCAAATATTTTCCGTGTATGAATGTGAAAATAAACATGTTGGTTGGTGAAATCATCAATTTGCAAGTTGGTAAATTTTAAAGGAATGAATTTTTTATTGCGATTTCAAAAGCCACTGGAGTTATCACAATTTTTCATTGAAATCATTTTTGTATGGTGGTTGGGAGTAAACTGGGGGGGGGGGGGGATTTCGACTAAATCTATAACTTACGGTGATCCCTCCTCCATTAGACACAATGCAGAATTTTTACATGGAGAGTCATTACACACTTGAATGTCTTCCTCACAATTCGGTCCAGTAAATCCAACAGAACATATGCATGCATATGAAGCCACCTTATCAATGCAAATTGCACCATTTTGACATGGTGAGCTTTCGCAATCATCAATATCAATGCTACAGAATCGTCCTTTCCATCCGGGTGCACAGTCACATGTGAAATCGAGCCCACGTCCTTCCACACATTGACCACCGTTGTGACATTTATTTCCACTTCCTATTCATGAAAAGAGAATGGGAGAAAAAAATCAGTGAATGGAGAATGATATGAATTAAAATTAAAAATTTATAAGATTTTTATCAAGGCAAATGGAATTGAAGTCGTAGCAGATTCGAGCACAAGATTTATGGCATCAGTATATAAAAAAATTTGTGCTTTTTAATTTAATGGAAAATTTTATTTTAAATATTTAATCAACAAGAACATACAGTGATTACCTGTATTGCAAACAGCAACATCAACTTCACAATGTACACCCGCATATCCGGCAACACAATAGCAAACATATCCGTTTTCTCTGTCATCGCATGTACCACCATTTTGACATGGATTCGATAAGCACTCATCCAAATTTTCCTCACAATTTACACCTAGATGTTGAAATGAAATTTAATTTTTATGAGTGTGAATGTGAGAAATATGAGATGTATTTATTATGCATTAGAAGTTTTGGGATTTCAAGCATGACGAGGAAGTAAATTATAAATTGTACTGGCATATCGTATTCGCATGGAGAATGACGACCATTGAACATTTGGTCATCGAAGTACAAATTGAATTAAATTTATCAGCTTGAGTTCATTAAATTCCTATCGAACAGACTCTTATTTCAAAAATAAAAATTATATTATCAATATTTACCGTTAAATCCTTCAGGACATGTACAATTGTACGCAGCGACACCATCTATACACGTACCACCATTAAGGCATGGCATACTCCAACATTCATCCCAATTTGTTTGACACTGTTTCCCCGTGTAGCCATCAATGCAATAACAGCTATATGTTCTATATAATTTATTATCGCATAACGTTCCCATTATTATGAGTCGATGACGAATGATGTGTGTGTACATGAGTGTCGGAAAAATAGGATATAAATAATGAAGAAAAAACATTTTAGATACATATAAAACACAGGCATTCGAAGGTGGCAAAAGCATTTTCGTTGATTAAACACGTGCAGTGAATTTTCTTCTGTCTAAGGTAGATCAATTCTTCTCTCTCGACATACTTTTATGACGAAGGTAAATCCATTGTGGGTCGTTGAGTGACCATTTATATAAATGAAGAAATTAAAAATTCAATAGCTTGATTTATCTTTCTGTGACAGTCGCATTAAGAAGAATTTAGATCGATAAAAGTGGGGTCGTAAATGGTTTTAATGGAAGCATTTAAACGTAAAATGTGATGTTGAATAATGGACATCAAGTTTAACGATTCTAAATTTTTAATGCCTTAAATGAGTTCTTTGTTCAAAATCTTCCATAAAATTTATTTTTTTTACAGTTTTAATTAATCCACTTTATATCAAATAATACTAACGCCTCCACACCTTCTTAAACGATTAAGTCCTTTTTATGTATAACAATAATGATCCTATCAACTTACCCATTAATTTCATCAATACAAACACCAAAGATACATGGATTGCTAGCACATCCTAGAATGTTGGCCTCATTACTACTGTTGCTACTGCTTATGCCATTAATTACACCCCCAAACAACACTAAACAACTAATCAATATGTAATTGCACAATTTTACTACATCTAATGTCTGTTGACTATGTTTTTTGCAATTAAAATGTTGCTTATGTTTTAGTTTTGTCGATTCACAGCTCTGCCATATGACATACGATGAAATGACTAGATGCTCATAAGCAATCGATTTGTTATCGCTGCTGTTGCTTTTATTTAATTTCATGTTGATGATGATGATGATTTTAATCGGATTTTTGGCTTCTCTTGAATGAGAAATGAGTATTTGGGTTTATGTCTGATTACTCTCGTGGTGTTTACATCTGAAATGACAGCAAAATAGAGATTGAAATTATTATTAATGTATGAGTTTTTTGGTGAACCGAAAAAAATTTTAAGGGATGCTTGACTAGACTTGTTAAAGATTTTATACCAAGTTCAAGATCAGGAAATAATTTTAACTTTGTTAAAATATTTATTAAGGAAAAAAAGAAAATTCTCATATCAACGAGTTTCAATCTTAATTACCGACATCCCGCTTAACACAAAGTTAGCAAAAAAACGGAACAGGAAAATTAATTTTCACTTCGTTGCCTTTCAATTTCTTAATCATCTTGTTTAACAATAATGACAGGATTCTTGCGGTTTGTCAATCATAATCATCATCCATTATCATTTTGTGTAATTAAAAACATCGAGATTCTTTTAATAAATGAGGTTGGTTGAGTGCTGTGTGCTTCTTATATAATGCAAAAAGTAATTCTTTTGAACCCCTTCCCCACTCTCTATTCCCAATTGTTATAAATTTACAACGATGAAATATTTGTTTTCAAACAAAATCTCAGACATTTTCGTATATAATTATAGGTATATTCGTAATAGGTAAACTGCAATTAAGAAAAAGTCATAATTTTAATGGAACAGGAAAAAAAAATATTATTAAGTGAAATATGTATAACAAAGAGTTGAAGAAGAATAAATATTTTTTACAACAAAAATGCTTTCACCTCGAAAACCATTGCTTATTCAGCAATACGAAAGATTTAATGAAGAAGAGATCCTTAAAAACCACAATAAGTAACATTCAAGGTAATTTCAATTAATATAAATGTTTAATTATCATTAAGTGGTTCTGAGGAAGACTTTACTCGTAAAGAAACTCAATAACCAGCTTAATGTCAGTGGAAAACGCAAAACACATAAATAAAAGTAAAAGACATACAGCCAATAAATGCAATTAAAGGAACCAATTCATTAATAAAATTTTAAAAAACTAGTGTATCGGGTAGAAACCCAATGCGGATTATATTCACACCGTACCTTTGTCTTATGGATAGAAAACTAGTGTATCGGGTAGAAACCCAATGCGGATTATATTCACACCGTACCTTTGTCTTATGGATAGACCAAGATTTGCCCAGCATAAGTATGAAGGTGTGAAGCTTGATAAGTCAACTTAGTTTTGAGATATAAAGCTCGCGAGTCAACTGAGCTTTGCTCAGCATAAGTTTGAAGGTCTAAAGCTTAACGAACATTCTTTAAAAGTTTTTTGAATTTTATAGAAATCACAGTCAACTTTTGTTTTATAAAATTCGTAAGAAAGGAAAGTTTTTTGCTTTTTCTGAAGCAACGGCTGTTCCTACCTTGCCCCAAAAAAATACAGCTCTTCTACAGAGCAGCACGGATCCAATGTAAAAAACTAGAAGTCTCTACGATGTATCGTTATTGAGATTTCTTGCTGATTAACTTGCTTGCATGCTTGTTTGCTTACAGAAAGCGTATTTTGCGATTTTCTCAGCAATGCCTCAATCAATTTAAAATCTGTTTTTTGCAAAAGATTTAAAATTTCAGGCACAAACTTTTCATCTTTCGACATGTTAAGCTATCTTGCTCCATTTCCTAGCAAAATGCGAAAAAATGAGTTTTCAATCTGAACAAAACCAATAGATTCGCACGTGAAAACGGTGTGAATATAAAAATTGATTGAACCTAAAAATAGTTTTAATTCCTTTTTTTTTTCATCTCCATTAAGTCACAAAACTAAAATTTATTTCTCCGTCTTTTCGTTATCTCTTAGCAGCATCTCCATAGATACAATCACAATTGAAATAAGTGAGTAAGTAAAGAGAAACACTTTATCATTCAATTGAAATGAAACTGTTGTGGAAATGAGGCTTTGATTCTATTTAGTTTAAACAAACAACAGCTGTTGCCATGATATAAATTTCCATTCTCAACCCGCTCCACGTTTCTTTTGTTTGCTTTCTTTCTTGTTTGCTCTGAGATTTTTTTTTGTGTGAATTTTCTTGTTTTCATATAAATCACCAACGATGCTTACGAACGATTTAATTTTCCAAAGAGTTTTATAAAGTATAGCATCAAAGTGCTTTAATGTTTAATTACTCAACAATCCTTCTTGATGATTTTCTTAAAGATTCAAGGGTAATGAAGCCTTTTCTTCGTAATTCTTTATAACGAAACAAAATTGAGATAAATGAGTGGACTTATTAAAGACTGTGCTTGAAACTGCGAGATTATTCTTTTCATTTTACGAATTTCATTCATAAAACATGAATATTTAAGGTTCCTAATAATCTGCAAGATTTTCAGTCTTTCTGTGAGAATCCTTTTAATTAAAAGGAACATTTAATTTTTACTCAGTCTTTTTTTTAATTTTTGATGCCAATTTAAAGGTTTTAGAGAAATGATTTAATAAAGTTTTCTGATTTTGAAGACACTTCATTGTAGGAAAAATTATAAATGATGTAAAATTCCATTTTATGATTTTTTCAGGATATCAAGAACCCTCACTGCGCCCGGAGGGAAAAAAATTTCTTTAATTTAATCCAGTGTTGTTTAAACTTTTTGAAGCACGGCACACCTTGGGAGAAGTCCATAACCGAAGTCGCACACAGCATGCGGCATTGATATAAGCTATTAAAATCTCCCTCAAAAATTTCTGGCTAAGTCTCTGATCCTTACAGTTAAATTTCATTGATTATTGAAATTCTCTTTACATATAAAGCAATAAAGTTACCAGTCTTTGATAAATTTCAGTCCATAATGTATTTAAACATTATTCAATTATTTAAATGAGTAAAACGATCGATTTTGGACATTTTCGATCAAAGAGAATTAACTGCATTGTCATTAATATGTAATCAAATTTCCATTCAAAGAATTTCCATTCAGATTTGATACATTTTATGATGAGGACTAAGAAGACAAAGACTCTCTCAAACAACCTTAATTACTCTAATTGGAAATGAATTCAAAGAGCTTTGTTCTTATCTAAAATTCAAGAGATTCATTTTCATTTTATTATTTATCAAGAATATTGCATAATGTGGCTTTATCGATATCCATCTTCCTGATAATATCATACAAAGTATTTTTTTATTTTTCATTATTCATATGTGTTCGTATTTCTTATTTAACAATCCTTTTATATTGAATAAGTTATTCATAAGAAGATAAGACGATGAAACTTAAGAGACTTCTCATCAATTTGTATATACAATATTTGAGCTACATAATAAATCACCAAATTTTTAATAAGCCTAAAAGCTCTCTGAAAACTTAAAGCAATTAAGACATAAATAATGAAAATCACAAAAACAATCCATTCCATTTCTCAAACGACAATAACAACTTTCTAAGTGTTTAGAATATGAATGTTCTCAGTATTATAAATATAGATGCAAAAATATGAATGAAAGCAATATTTCGTGAATATTTAAATAGCAAATGAGTAAAACCACAGCTATAGCTTCTATACATTCTATTTTCATTTCATATAATTTCATGCAATAACAAGCAACTATAATGCAATGCATGACATGCTTCTTTCTAGCTAAAAACATTTTTTTCTTATAATACAAATGAGATCCAATTTTGGGGTAAAATCCATTTTCATTGCATACAAAATGCACAGCAATAAAATGTACAAAAAATGCAATTTCTTTCCTTTCCTCGTCAAATTATCAAAATCCCTGTCGGAAACGGAATGAGATTGCAAATGATTATGATGCGATTTTGTTATTGCATGCTATAGACACACAGCAGACAATAATATACAGTAAGAGAAATGAGAGCTTCAAGTGAGACTGAATGAGAGGGAAGCGGGAACTGCCAACCTTAAAAAAATCCCATTTGAAATTCATTTTTGTCTGAAGCAATACGAAACACAAAATACAGAAATACAATAAGGAATAAAATGATATAATGCATAGTTCAGAAAACAGAATAGTACACAATCTAACAATTGCAATTGTTGTTTTCATGGTAGAAACATGCATGATGACGGAAAACAATGTTCTTAAGGAAGTAGAGGTGTGGTAACATTGTGATTAATTGAGATAGTTTGGTTGGATTTTTAGTATGTTTTATATAATCTAAATATTAGGTTGTGTTATAAATGTGAATTCTACTTGGAAGTCAATAATAATTTTGAAATTGGAATTAAATTTGAATCAACTTTTTTCTGAGATATAGATTAACTTAAGTCAGGAATCTTACAATTAATGACGAATAAATTACAACAAAAAACTTTATTTCCTAGAGTTACCACACAATGACTCTCAATCTCTTGATTCCCCCATTATTTCATAACACTAAGTTCACAACCTCATTCTAAACAATAAAATCTTAAAAATCATTCAGAAAACACAAAAATCTCTCACAATAAAACACAATTTCCTGCGATTTTCCCCAACAATTCTCACAATGTCTATGAAAAGTGCATTGCGATTTGTTTTGATGACTTTATCTCAATTGAGAAAATTTCTTTTATTTTATTCCATTTTCTTTATTTTCTCTCTATATCTTTCTACTGCCACTTGTGTGCTATTTTAAGTGGCTTTTCTTCTTTTTTGAACAACATTTGAAGATATACAAGAAAAGTTGAAAGAAGTTGTGAGAATTGCATCTTTGTAAGCTTTTATTAAAGAGATTTTTGAACAGAATATGGTGATTGCATTCTCGTAGAGGTTTTTATAGACAACAATGAACTTAGGAGACGTATTTTTTTCATCTCTCATATATTTTAGTGTTCAATATCATTAAATGATGTGTTCAAACATCACACATTAAAAATTATATCTGATTTTAATAGTTTTGTTTATTTTTACTGCTAATATGTCTATAATCCTCTATTTATGATGTTTTGATACTAAAGATAATCCTTTTAAAATTGATCAAATTCCATCATACAACCAACATCATTTCAGTGTATCTAAAGTTAGTCAATATCAAATCAAGTTGCTTAATCAGCAAAAAAAATTTAATCCCAATAATCTATCAAATCCGTAAATCCCATAGATTT